CTTGGGTACTGACAAGAGTAACTAACTGAACTACAGCATGTCAGCCAGTGGAAAGAAAGGGCCTGGAGAATGAACAGAAGCAGGGAGGCTATAGGGCATTCTTGGACATTGTTCTGAACATAGTGCTAAAAGACAAATTAAAGGAAATTGGTCCAGGAGTGTAGACATGATGATCAACCTAACTAAGGTGTCTATACTAAGATTCTTCAGTTACAAGTAACAGAAACCAGTGTAAGCTACTTCAGGCAAAATAGGGAAATTTATTATAAGGAGTTAGAGGTGTCTCACAAAACCCAAGGTCAAGAATCCCAGGAATTGACTGGAACAGGCAATTGCAAAGTCTTCAGAAAATCAGACAATAGACAATATCATTTATCCTTCTCTTTATAATATTTGTTTTTGCTTCACTCTTTCTGATGACCAGATTCCTCTGCTCCTCAGAAAACATGGGGGACTACAGCTTCCCCATAGGGCCGTGGCACTATTATTTACTTTCTAAGGTTCAGCCATAGGGGAAAAAAATCAATTTCCCCCCTCTCTCTCTCTTTCTTTCTCTCTCTGTCTCTCTCTTTCTTTCTCGCTCTGTCTCTGCCCTGCAATTTCAAATTCCTGGGAAGAGCTTCTAAATAGTCAAGTGCTCATCCTTAGGCCAATTAACTTAGGCCTGGGATTGGCACAACAGTTATAAACCACATTCACTGCCAGGATTTCACCCCTATAAGAAAGGGAGTAGAAAATGGGGGACAATTTAAGGAGTCATGTGAAGTGCACAGACATTCCAAAAGGGATTCACCACAGTGGCCAAGCAGTTTTATTTCAGAACTAGAGGGCATACACACGAGAACAAGCCCTAAAAGGCTCTTCTTCTTTAATAACTTCTCTCAGCTTTCAGTCCCCTAAGAATGAAGAAGACAGAGATTTAAACACAAGAGGAAGTTAAAGTAGTGGAAGTGACTAGTAGCCTCCTTAGTGTGTGAGTCAGACCAAAATGTGACCAGGCCTGTCACATAGTAAGCACTCAAAAAATGTTAGCTATTATTATGAGAGGCTGGGTGCAGTTGGAGTCTGAGCAAAACGGATTGGCTAATCTTTGCAGATAGTTCCTGCAGAGCACAAAGGAACCTGGGAAAGGTTCCCATTCTTTAGTGGAATATACCTCAATAGGAACCAAGGCTTAGGCCGGCCACATACAACGCACTCCTCCTTGCACAGAGCTAATCAACACTGACAAATTCTTGGGTTTGGGCCCTCCTTTTTCAAGATTCTGTGCAAACTTCCCTTTTGTTATGACAACATAACAATTACCTCATCCTTGTTACAGTTGAACCCAAGACAACTCCCCCTCCCCGATGAATTCCATTTCAGTCATTTCTACTTCAGAATCAGCCTGATTGAACTTGGAAGGCTCCTGGTATCTTTGATTATGTTTAGAAGACATGTAGTATACTTTATGCAAATGTGGGAAGCACTCAAGTAACAATATTATAAGCACACACTGTCTCTCCAGGTTGGCTACTTTTTGCTAATCTCCTTTTCCTGTAGATTCCTAATAATTTCAGTTTGAGAGACATTTATGATTTTTGTCTCCAAATGTGCCCTTTTAGGGGCAAGTGACTTTCTTTGGATTGTGGAGTCACATCATACACACATGTGGGAAATAAGAATATAAATAATGGGAGTGAATCCACCTATCATTTCACTCAGTAACTCTATGTCTCAGAGTGAGTGAGGGTTGGGAGACTTGAATCTGCTCTTCACTAAGGTGATCTCACTTTCTATATACTTCTCATAGTGTATGTCACCACCTTGAGTGTGTTTCTAGTGTTTAAACATATGTATTTTTCATGCAATAAGGACCCTTAAACACAAGCCAGCTGCTTAATCTGGTGCTCATTTGAAAAAACAGAGATCTGTTTCAATGCTGGCCTTACTGATAGACATTATGTAGGTCTTTCATATGGAGCTTTCACAAATGACTTTCAAGGACAATTTTAACTATATGTAATTTTCCCTTGAGTGTTTAATCCCCTTTAGAATCTGACCTCTGTGTAAAATGCAATTTTACTGTACTAACTATAGTCTACTGGCTGAGAAAAACGGCTTTTGTTCCCCACCAGTTTACTGAGAGTGTGTGTTTTAGATGCGCTACTAAAAAGGAAGTATATCATAGAAAGGACAGGAAAGGACTTGGTAATGGACACCAATCTCCTGAGCACTTGGCCAGTGGTAGTGAAATTCCCCAGTTGGTGATTGGAGACAGGGTTTGGAGATGGACATTGTATCCTCACATCCTACCTTACAACTCAAGATTCCACTCTGCCAGTAGAGCAAAAGTTTATAGGAAAATCATGAATGGGGTAGTACATTTTCAAATGAGAACCCAGGAAAAAGGCATGGGTAAAAAATGTGCAGGATGAGGAGTGGGGAATAAGATAAAGAAGTCCTGTTCAAATGAGGGCATTGATTGGGAAGGAATAAGATCCTGAAAATTGGAATGGGGATCTATGGGAAGATTTCAGTGAAGTTGGGTATGTCATACTCCTAAATTCCACTTAGTCTTCTTTGCCAGACTTTCTACCCCTGCCTGAGAAAGTTAACTCTGCTTTGCCTGAAAAACCTGTAATGGCCTCTCTTAAGGTAGTTTTCTTACAAAGCACTACTGACTCTCCTCATGACCTACCCCACAACCCCTCGTTGCTTCTAGACATATACCTAGAGTCAAGTCCCAGCAGGCCTTGAAGGGTGACCCACGAGGAGGCATGCTGCACACTAAAACATGTGCATGATTTTTCCAATTTATATAGACATAGATCTGAGAAATATGTGTGGGAATGTATATTAAAGGGGTGTGATAGTGATGGAAGGAGTGTGAAGTTTAATCAGGCCAAATTTATTGATATGGACCCACTAAGCAGAGATTATGGATTCAGAGTTTTAGCTCAAGGTGTTAGAAAGGGCTCTAATATTTTGTTTGGTTGGTTGGCTGAAAGTTGACCAAAAAGTGACCTATACTAAATGAAGTTGAAATGCTAGAGCTGCTTTGGTATACTATAAAGGAAAGGATCCAAAAGCTTAGGGAGATTGGAATGTTAGAGTGGATTTATCATTTAAGATCTGCTGACCCACCCTAGAGGACACCCCTTTAACTATGACTGTGAGAAATGAATTTTTGAGGGGAACCCCAGCATCCTTGAAGAACTCTGTGGTTGCTCTTCTCTGTAGGTTAGAAATTACAGTGGGAACTGCTGCCACTGAACTAGGATCTTTAAATGCAATGAAAATAATTGGATCTTAGGGTTGCAGAGGCCAAATGGTAAAACTTAATCACCAAAGACAAGGTGGGATTGGTTGCCATAATGCACAGTGGAGTCAAAGTAGTAATCAGAATAGTCTAACTTTCAGAGAACTTTGGTGTTGCCTAATTGATCATCATGTCCCTAGAAAAGAAATAGATGTGCAATCTACTGAATTCTTACTTGATCTGTATAAGTAGAAGAGTTCTAGTTGGAGTGAACAACATCTAATCTGAATCGTCAAAACAGAGACTCACTGTCTTTCCATCAATTCCCAGATGTGAGCCAGGTGATGGACCCAGAACCCTTTGGATGAAGGGGAGTCATGTTACTTTAAGGAAGGACCCCAAAAATTTACACTGTTAGTCATCTTACCAGCCTTCCTCAAAGGAATCTGTGGCCATTTACCAGGAGATTATGCATTGGAAAAAAAGAAATAATCAAACATTTGGGGGATTACTGTACAGTGGCTCTAAACTGGCACTAATTCCGGAAGACCCTAAATGTCACTCTGGTCCACCAGTCAGAGTAGAGGCTTATGAATGTCAAGTGATCAATGTAGTTTTAGCTCAGGTCCATCTCACATTGGGTCCAGTGGGTCTCCAAACCCACCCTGTGGTTATTTCTCCAGTTTCAGAATGGATAATTGCAATAGACATAATCAGCAACTGGCAGAATCCACATATTGGTTCCATGATTGTGGATTGAGGGCTATTATGGTAGGAAAGGCCAATCAGAAGCCACTAGAACTGCCTCTACCTAGGAAAACAGGGAATCAAAAGCAATACCACATTCTTGGAGAAATGGCAAAGATTAGTGCCACCATCAAGGACTTGAAAGATGAAGGGATGGTGATTCCCACCACTTCCCCATTCAACTTACCTATTTGGCTGAGCAGAAAAGAGATGGATCTTAGAAAATGACAGTGGATTATTGTGAACTTAACCAGGTGGTGACTCCAATAGCTAGAGGTAGTTTTGTTGCTTGAGCAATTAACACATCCCGTGGTACTTTGTATGCAGCCATTGATCTGGAAATGCTTTTTTCTTGATAGCTGTTAGTAAAGACAATCAGCTGACAAGGCCAGCAATATATCTTCACTGTCCTATGTCAGGAGCATATTGACTCTCCAGCCCTATGTCATAAATTTAGTCTATAGGGACTTTGATCACCTTTCCCTTCCACTAGACATCACACTGGTTCATTACTTTCATGATATTATGCTGCTTGGACCTGGCAAGCAAGAAGTAGTAGCTACTCTAGACATATAGGTAAGACATGTCAAAGAGTGGAAAATGAATTTGAAAAAAATGCAGGGTACTTCCACCTCAGTGAAATTTTTAGGTGTCTAATGGTCTGGAGCGTGTTGAGATATCACTTCTCAAAGGGGATTTTTTTGTTTTTGTTTTTGGTGAGGAAGATCAGCCCTGAGCTAACATCCATCCTAATCCTCCTCTTTTTGCTGAGGAAGACCGGCTCTGAGCTAACATCTATTGCCAATCCTCCTCCTTTTTTCTTTGCCCCAAAGCCCCAGTAGATAGTTGTATGTCATAGTTGCACATCCTTCTAGTTGCTGTATGTGGGATGCGGCCTCAGCCTGGCCGGAGAAACGGTGAGTCGGCGCGCGCCCTGGATCCGCACCCGGGCTGCCAGTAGCAGAGCACGCGCACTTAACCGCTAAGCCACAGGACCGGCCCGAGATATCACTTCTAAGGCGAAGGATAAGTTGTTGCATCTGGCCCCTATTATATCCAAAAAAGAGGAACAATGCCTAGTGGGCCTCCTTAGAAGTTGAAGGCATCAAATTCATTTGAGTGTGCTACTCTGACTCACTAATTAATGTCAACTTGAAAATACAATAGCCAGTTATTTTACCAGCAAATTGAGTTTATTCAGGAATAGCAAAGAATTGCAACTCAGGACATGCAAACTATGGCGAACCACAGACAAGTCCAGAGAACAAAGGAGGGGAGCTTGCTTTTATAAAGAAAAGGGAGAGTTGGAATGGGCTGTTCTAAATGGAAGTTCATTGGAGGAGAGTAAGAGTTTAGGGTGGTGACACCTGAGCTGCAGCGTTTTCCATTGGTTGGGCTTGTTGCTTTGCAAGAAGAAAATCTTCCTTCCTCCTGCTGGAACAGTAAAGTAGTAGGCAAATTCCTGTTGGAGATGCAAGGTACATCTCTTCCTGTTTGGGGTAATTGATGATGAGTGGTAGGATATGAGAGGTCCCTCTACAGGCCTTCCTGACTCCAATTTTAGTTGAGGTTTCCTTTATTAATTATCACACTAACCAAAAAAGCTGCTAATTTTGAGTGGTGTCTAGAACAAGAGAAGGTTCTACAACAGAATCAGGCTACCATGCAAGCTGCTTTGTTACTTAGGCCATATGATCGAGCTAATCTGAGGGTGCTTGAAATGTCAGTGGTGGTAGAGATGCTGTTTGGAGTCTTTGGCAGGCCCCTAGAGGTGAATCCCAGTGCAGGCCCTTAGGATTTTGGAGCAATACTCTGGCTTCCTCTGTGAATAACTATTTTCCTTTTGAGAAACAGCTTTTGGCTTTCCACTGGGCCTTAGTAGAGACCAAATACTTAACCATGGACCACCAAACTACCATGCAACCTGAGCTGCCCTTCATGGACTGGGTGTTATCTATCTCACCAAGCCACAAATTTGGCCATGTTCAGCAGCACTCCATTATCAAAAGGAAGTGGTATATACAAGATTGAGCTCAAGCATGCCCTGAAGGAACAAGTAAGTTACCTAAGGAAGTGGCCCAAATGCCACAAATCTATATATTCATGGGCTGTGGCCAATGGTTTAGCTAGATTAGTCAAGGACTTGGAAGAAACATGATTGGAAAATTGGTGACAAGGAGGTCTGAGGAACTGTTATGTGGATAGACCTCTCTGAATGAGCAAACAATGTAAAGATATCTGTGTCCCGTGTAATGCTCACCAAAGGATGACCTCAGCAGATGAATATTTTAATAATCAAGTGGATAGGATGGCCCTTTTTGTACTACTATGTCCTATGATTAAACTTGATAGAAAACTACAACAACCCAATTCAGGCAGGACTACTAATGGACCAGACCCTTCAGGATTGAATGTTTGGGATACCTCACCAAACAAAGAATTAAAATCAACAGAAGGAAAAGGCAATATAGAATGGGTAGTAGAAGAAGGTAGTTATAAATATCAGCTATGACCATGTGACCAGTTACAGAAATGAGGACTATGATAGTTATGAGTATTTTTCCTTGATAACCTTCCAGATTAGCTTTGCTCCCAGGCATCTCATTATTGTCTATATCTGCTGTAAGAGAAAGTGTTTATGGGCTGGCCCCATGGCCTAGTGGTTAAGTGCGCGTGCTCTGCTGCTGGCGGCCCGGGTTCGGATCCCGGGCGCGCACGACGCACCGCTTCTCCGGCCATGCTGAGGCCGCGTCCCACATACAGCAACTAGAAAGCTGTGCGACTATGACATACAACTATCTACTGGGGCTTTGGGGGGGAAAAAAAAAAAAGAAAGTGTTTATGTTTTTAAAGGAGCCTTCAGAGGAGTAACAGTGGGTGGCAATTTCCCTCAAATATTTCCCAAATCCTTATTAATGGTGTTCTTGGTGGGTCTGGCAAATTTTGTAGTGCTATAAGCAAGCAGTTGTCAATTTGAGCGGAGAAATTCCCATGCGATGAGAGGTTAGATTTCTCCATGAGCTCAAGTATGCTTTTTATACAAATTGTCTTTGCTTTAACACTCAAGAGCTATAATTGTTTACTGTGAGCAGCCAGTGTTGCAATTGTTGTAGAGCCCACTTCCATTGAAAGTTATGTAAAACTTGCAGTTGGTATTGTGAAACGTTTGGTTAGGGAAGAATTTTCAAGCTGGTTGTAGTCCTTGATTTTTTACACGTCTTGACACAAATAATATTATGTAGTATACATTGCCTTCCTTATATATATTGATTAGCATCCAGGGAAGGTGTATTAGTAGTCACAGTTCTCTAGAAAAACGAACCAATAGGGTGTGTGTGTGTGTGTGTGTGTGTGTATAAAGAGAGATGTATTTTAAGGAATTGACTCACTTGATTGTGGAGGCTTGACAAGTCCCAAATCTAAGGTAGTACGTTGGAAGGCTGGAGACTCAGGGAAGAGTTGCAGTTCGAGTCCAAAAACAGTCTGCTGGCAGAATTCTTTCTTGCTCAGGGGAGGTCAGTCTTTGTTGTATTAAGACCTTCAACTGATTGGATGTGGCACATTCACATTATGGAAGGTAATCTGCCTTACTCAATGTCCACTGATTTAAATTTCAATCTCATCCCAAAAATACACCTCCACAGAAAGATCCAAAATAATGTTTGAGCAAATATCTGGGCACTGTGGCCCAGCCAAGTTGACACATAAAATTAACCATCACAGAGGAGGTGCTTGGTAAGGTGCCAGTTTCTTTCCACCTCAGTAAGTGGGGCTTGTATTGGAGGGAAGAGAGAGATCATTATAATTAATAAGAGGCCAATAGTTGCAAGGGTGTACATTGTTAGCAGAGTTTACATTTATCACCATCCCAGGGATTAGTGTAAGCTATAATTTTATCCCTATAATCCCGTAGGGTTTATTGATATTGGTTCTGGATTACAACATTTTTAATTTAATTGCACAATCATGAGCATCCTAGTTGTAACATTGGGTACATGCTATCTCTGGGCATTCCTTAACTGAGACTTGGTAGAAGGAGGCCTGTTGCTCTATTTACTTGATGGCACTAGTTAATAATAGTGGATTTCATTTGACTTGAAGTAAAAATTGGCCCAAAGGGCTTAGAAGGCACTTATGAGTCGCCAGCAGTATTATAGTGTCTGGCTTAGCTGGGAGGGGTGTTGCTAGAAGTAATAGAGACAGGAGGTAGAGTACTAGTCTCAGTGTTGATGTCTGTGATCATGTTAGTGGGATTGACCAAAGTGAATAACCAACAAAGTGATTCCATTGTCCCCAGTCTGACCAGAGTTGTGTGTTTCCCTGTAGTATGCATGTGGCATGTTAAGGTGATCCACCAATGGGCGTTTAGTCCACACTGGTGAGGGTAGGAACTTCTCAAGTAAGGAAGGGGCACAACAACAGAATAGAGGTTCAAGTCAGAGGTAATCTGCAGCCAGCAGTAGTGGATCTAATTGTCCCACGTATATTGCCCAGGGGCAACTAGTTCCACCTCCTGGGTGTCAGAAGCAGGTTCAGATTTGTTCCACAGTGCCTTTAGTGGAGCAAAGTATGTGGGCGGCAGATGAGGATGCCTCTTTCTTCAGATAGTAGTGAGTGGTTTGCTCCACTTATGCTGGATGATGAGCAGATGTAGGCTGAGGATGACTCTAGAGCCAGCAGTCCATATTAGGTCCTCATTAGGATTGAAGAGGAGACAGCTAGGCTCTGGATTTTCTATGAGGGAGAAAGAAAATGTTAAAGTATCAAGTAGATGTTCCTTTGCTGTGGACAATAATGTCAGGGCTACCACATCCATGAAAATTGGTAATTGTATTTTAGACAGTGGGTATATACAACACCAGAGATTGCAGCATCTCTGTTGGTGGTCTCCTTATTTGTTGTGAATTTAAATATGGCATAGTTATGCCATGGGGAAGAGGGGGGTATGTGGATTTAATGTAATCAGGACTATGGACAATATTTTGACCACTTGGGGAACCATTGTCCTCCAGGTTCTCTCAATAGCCCTTGTTTTAAAAGCCCATTATGTCTTTCTATGATATCTGCTGCTGTGGGATGAAAGGGTAGGTGAGAAACCCAAGCAATGTTATTTTGGAATGGCCATTGTTGCATTTGCTTTGCAGTGAAGTGGGAGCCTTGATCTGACTGTGTAACTTGTACCACTCCCAAAGACTATAAAAGCTGTTTTGTTAACCTCTCAATAACATTAGGAAAGGTTAGTGCCTTACACAGATAAATAAGCCAATAGAAGGTCTATGTGGGTATCTACCATTGTTAAGGCATATTTAATGACTCCTGCTGTTACAGGGAGAGGCCCAATGAAGTCGATTTGCCATTTCTGGTGTGGGCTTTCTCCTCTGTAAATTTCTCTAGTGTCTAGATTTCTGGCATCTGGTACAGTCCCTAATGACTTTGTGTAAATGTCTGTCTACTGAGTCAACTCCTCTATTAACAATCTGTTTTTATAACCCCATGATACCCAAATGCCTTGATCTTTTGGGCGCACACAAGTAGAAAGGGTAGGTTAGCTAGTCTCAAAGTTCTGGGGACTCTCCGTCCTTCAAGAGGCTTACCTGTTTTAGTGGTCTGGTTATTTCATCAGCTTTGGTGTTGTATCATGCCTCCTCTGTGTCTTGTTTGGTATGAGTCGAGGTATGGTACACCAAGATGGGCAGAATAGGAACCAATGTGGCAATTTTTCCCTATATCACTTTACCCCAAATGTCTCGACCTTGTATTTTCCAGCTATCATTTTGCCAAAGTCCTGATCAATTAGTTAACCCATTAGCCACCAACCAGGTGTTGGTAAAAATAGAACATTAGGAAAATGTTTATCAAGGGCATGCTTTATTGCCAGGAGTATTGCATGCAGCTTGGCCTGTTTGGCACTTTTTCTAACCCCCTTATGGAAATTGGAGTGTTTGAATACAGGTGACAGGCTGTGGCTATCCATTGTCTGGCTCCCTTATACCCCATGCTCACTTCATTGATAAAGACAGACCATTACTTTTCTAATTTTGAGAGTGTTGACCATGCTCCCTCCAGTCCCCATTGAGCAAGAGGTGAAGGCATTTCTGGGGGCTTTAGCAAGTTAACCCCAGTAGCAGGGTATATGGCTATTTCCTCATAGAACTGTGACACACTAGTAGGGCCAGGTTTATCTTGATCCTTTTGATACTATTTCTATTTTAATGAGGAGCCTTCATTAAATTTCACAGGGAGCTTTTTCCATTACTCGGAGCGTAAGAGGAGTCTCGATTCATAGGGTAACTGGCTCTGCCCCAGTAACGGCTTCAGTTTCAGTAAGTGCCCAGTATATCACTAGGAGTTGCCTCTCTACTGGTGAACGCCTTTGGGCTGAGTCTGAGAGCCACTTACGTCAAAAGCCTATGAACAGCCATTTACATGTTCATTAGGCCCAGAAGATTCAGGAAGCAAATTTGGAGGTGGCTGAAACTTTAATTGTAAGTCCTGTCCTCGAGGCACTAGTGGAACTGCCAAAGTAATTGCCTCCATTAGTTTATCTAATGCTTATTGTTGCTCAGGTCTCCACTGAAAAATGAAAGACTTATAGATTTCTAGATAAACAGGATCAGCTTCTCCAAAGGTGATCTCCAAAGGTGAGGA